TTTTTTTTTTTTTTATATAATAATTACTTGGTCATTTAATTTCTCCCCCTTTTTTGTGTGCGTGTGTGTATTTTGTGAATCATTTGTCCAATTATGACGTGCGGATGATTTATCTTGCTCACTTATTGTCCAATAATTTATAATGGCAAGGATGAGGATGATGAAGATGATGACACTAATAATGAGGATAAGCCACCAAAGGGCCGGACAGCCCAAAGTAAGATATAACTTGCTCTGAACATGCTAACATGCTTTCTACTGTTGTTATTATACATTTTTTATCATCAACTTTCATTTTGTCTATTTGTAATCACAACTAATAACAACGTGGTTGGTTGTTGACCTTATTAGTCTTTGCAGGTTACACTCTTGTAATATGAAGTATGGTTTTGCAAGTGATAAGTGGTTAACTTTCGTGAAAATTTTGCTGCGCGTTGAGATTGATATGTATTTATTGATTTATTAACTACAAGTCTTCCACTCTATAATAATTGCAGGATGCCGAGGATTGTAAGTTAGAAATGCTGTAGTATTTGAATCTGAAATGCCTCCTACCTTTTCATTTAGTTATTAAATTTGTTATAGTAGTCTCGAGAGCTTGTCTCCAGGACAGTATTGAGTGTCCGTGACTGTGATGCTTGCATGGAAATGCTCAAAATCAAAAGTAGCCAGCGTTCCTATTTGATTTACTTTTTGACTGGGTTATAAATTTCCCTCTGTATGATGAGTCAGTTTTTCCTGGTTCATCTCTATGCATAATGGTAAGATTCTTTGTCTGATATTTGTAGTTTTAAGGACACAAAAGTATTTGCGGGCTAAGTTTGGTGGGCCTGAGGATGAACCGCTTGATGATGCTTATGAGGAAGATCAAGAAAGAGTTGTTTGGGGCCGCAAAAAAGATATGTATGGTGCTGATGTAAGTTTCTTAAGGCCTGCACTTAAACCAGGCTTGGTTTTCTATAGAAAATATGGACAAATCGTTATATATATATATATCTATATTGATTCATTGAACTGTTATGTGTGGTGATTCATTGGAAATATTGCTCTGTATGTGTGGTTAGACTGAAAAGAATCTGAATGCTCAGCTCTGAAGCACATGTAGGTTATGCATTATAATGGCTTGTGATGGTTGCTTTAGTGGTTCAACTCCTCTCAAATGCTATCAATTGTTTTATAACTTCCTTTTCTTGTAAATTCTATTATTATATTGTCCTGTATTTTTTGGAAATTGTCGACCATTTTTACTACCCGTGGAATGAATTTGCATAAAGTTGCTGAAACGCTAGATGTGGCTTCATCTGGTTCGCTAATTAGCAATGGTGTTTCCACTCGGTGAATTTTCCTGAAACACCAATATAGATTCTTGATATTAGTCTCGTGGCATTTTTTATTTTTATTTTCGCATTGGAATAATTAATTAAGTACGAATGCCATGACTTCTTGTAACACTTATTTTATTTTTAATCTTTAGCCTCAATCAAGTGATGATGAGGATGCTGTCGAGGAAGAGGCAGAGGTTTTAAAATTGCAAAGGGAGAAAGCAAAAATTCTATCAGTGGAGGATTTTGGTCTTGAAGATGCTAGTCAAGATGAGATTGATCAGGAGCCCACATTTGAGGTGTAAAACAAGATTATGCCAATAATGACTTTTTAATATGACAATTTCCGCTGATAGTCATGTTATATAAGATATGCCTGGGGTTTGAAAACTTTGTTGACTCCATTATTTTCTGCGCAATTTAGGAAATCTTGGATCATGGGAAATTGAAAACAGAAGTTCCCCTCAACAGAGGAATCAAAGAAGAAGATGGATCAACATATGAGATTGTCAAGAAAGATTTAAGTGCACTAACTAAGGAAGAGCAAATGGACATTGTGTACAGGTCATTATGCTTTTCTGGCACGATCTTCCGCTTTGAGTTTTCCTTTCATGTAAACTGTGAACTTAGAATATCAAACTGAGGTGATTGAGTTGCTTCTAGTGATCGGCTTTTATTTACATTAAAGTAAGATGCTTCTCTTATTAATTCCTATATAAACTTGGAAAAATGCATCATTTTTCCGGTTATGTTCCTTCTACTTCGATAAAAGAAATATGCAATTTCCTATCCGAACTATGGGTTGGCAAGTTTGTTTTTCATTTTGTACTTCAAATGGCATCAAACTAGTGGTGGCTGCCTTGATGCTGTCATTGGCTTTGGTATTTGAAAATATTTTCGTCCTCTTATGTACCGGATTAAATTTTATATCTGCTGCCTTTGATTTTTTTTGCATCTGATGCTTCTCAAGGGCTATCCTGATGACTGGTTTTACAGCTCTGCTCCAGAATTAATTGGCCTCTTGTCCGAGTTCAATGATGCTGTTGATCAACTGGAGAACAAGATAACTCCCCTCGTTGACAAGGTTTGTTTAAATTAGTTTGCTACAAATCTTTATTGTTGTGAATTTGGCGTGCACGAGGAACACACACAAACAAACATACTTTCCAAGACCACCTAAATTTGTTAGATTTTCAGTTTTGTGTTGAAAAGATATTTACTAGAAGGAATGAGAAATATATAATATCAATAAGTTCGTAACGGAGAAGTTAGTTCTCAAAGCAGTCGATCATTTTGTATTACTTATTGGTGACTCTCAGATTGTCCATATACCGGGCTTAACTAAATGAACTTTGTTCTTTGATTTGACGTTTAGTGCGTATTATATTTATATTTGCTGTATCATTGAAGGTTCGAGGTCGACAGACTGCGAAGAAAGGAGATATGCACTATCTCGAGGTAAAGCAGCTTCTATTGCAATCCTATTGCCAGGCTATAACCTTCTATCTTCTTCTCAAGTCTGAGGGGCAGCCAGTCCGTGATCATCCAGTTATTTCTCGTCTAGTGGAGATCAAGAGTTTATTGGATAAGGTTATTGCTTCTCATTGCTTGTTGAAGTTGGGTCTATGATACTGCTATTTTATCAAGAAACTACCACTATATATGCTTTTTGTACTGAATAGTACTCTGAAACATGCAAGTGGAGGTAATTTGATTTTTCTATTTTGGTCTACATTTTTTTTAAGTGTGCAGAGAGCAAAAAGTTATGGTATAGTTTATTTAGGTCTCCTAACTGATGTGTTTTGAGGTTAGCATTTTTTAGCACAACTAAAGTAACTAGATTTTAGTTAACACATTAGATTTAAACTGTTTTTTTTTTTTTTTTTTTTTTTTTTTTTTTTTTTTTTCTTGAAATAAGAATGCCACTTAAATGAAGCTCTTTTATCCAATCACAGCCCAATTAATCTGTTCATCTAGTCGCCAATTGTGCCAGGCTTTGTTTTCTTAAGATCGCATCACATATTAGGCACAAAGAGTCATTCTGTTTTTCTTGGTGAATTTTTGTACGTATGCTCTGACGACGTGATCTTGTTACTAAAAGTGCATTATGTAGGACACTTTTTAAAGTGTTGGTTGATCTTTTTTAAATGGCTAAAACATGCTGACTTTCCTTTTTTGCCATCACTGGCAGGTAAAAGAAATAGATGAGAAGCTTAATTTTGATGTGGAAAGCTTCATGAACAATGATGTGGATAACACTACGTTTATGAATTCAGTTGAAGAGAATGGTGTATCAGGAAATGATTCGTCTGGGAACGTAGCGTTGGTTGAGGTAGGTACAGCTTAGATGTTTTGCATTCAATTGTACATGTGTTAAATCTTTTTCTCTGACTTGCCACGTTTGTTATTCCAAGCAAATCTGATCCTCTTATTTCCTTCGTTGTCTTGCTTAGCTTGTCAAATCAGCCGATTTGAATATCTCGAAGGCTTCGAAAAATACCAAGGCAAAAGGGAAGCATCAAGTAAGCTTTTTTTTCTTAATCATTTGCGACCATCTTATTTTTTCAAAATCATGGCTCCGCTTTTCTATATTGTTTTGATCATCTTTTTCTCTGTATATGGCTTATATAGCTTGGTGTATTTAAAATTAATGGCAGGATAAACAAGTCGGGTTACAGAGCATTGAAATGCTAAAGATTAGGGCTTCCCTTGAGGAAAAATTGAAACAGAGAGGTGTATTTAGTTCCACTGCGTACAAGGATGGTGGAAATGCAAAACATGTCCAGTCAGTGAATAGGTTTCTCCTTTTCCTCGTGCAATTATATATTCCTCTTGTATTTCTTGCGTTAATCAATTCCATGGTGTTGTACCTAATTAACTGAATCATTGAAAACTGTGTTTGAAGACAACTTGAGACTTTGGATGATTTTGTTGATGAAGCCATGCAAATAGATGGGTCGACAAATAAAAATCCTGGCAAACTGACTTCACGTCCAAATAAACGCAAGGTATGGAGTCTCAACCTTGATCAGAAGATATAAATCATATTTCCTTTTTTATTTCGGCATGTTGCCAAAATATGTCGTGAATAGTTGAACCGGTGATCTTCCAAAATTACATGTCAGCAATTTTTGGAATGTGTGTGTGTGTGTATGTGTTTGGGTTTTGCTGATTGTGACTAAATTACATACTTGAAGGTTATCTCTGGTGATGATGATATACCGAAGAGGGATGACATTGGGGAAAGGCGAAGGAAGCATGAATTACGTGTTCTTGCAGGAGCCGGAATTGGGTCGGTCAACGACGAGACAACTAATAATATCTCCAGTGACGAAATTGCAGGTGTTAGTGAAGAAACTGATGATGACTTGGCTTTGGAATATTACAAGAAAGCGGAGCGGGAACACGCTGCAAAGCTTGCTGCAAAATCCGAAAAGTATTCTAGGTATGGTATTGCTTAAGAATTTAATGATGACTCATTTGTATTACTGCTTGCTGAATAATTGCAGATTCCTTGTACCCTTTGATAATATTGAGCCTGTTTTCATTTTACATCTAGCATATTTATCGTTTGTTGGCCAAACAAAATTTCTACAGGGCCAAAATGGAAGTTCCATCTTTGCCGGACACAGTTGATGGAAAGCGTAACATTACATATCAGGTTTGGGAAAGACTAGTTAGCTACTTGTTCTGTTCATTTTTTCACAGGATTTATTTATTTAATTTGGCTACTCACTTTACCTCTGGCTGGTTTGGTTTAATTTTTCTTTAGATGGAAAAGAATAGAGGCTTAACGCGTCCACGCAAGAAGCTGACCAAAAATCCAAGGAAGAACTATAAGGTATTCGATTGAAATAGTTGACTGTGTTTTTACAATTGTAATAGAGGAAATAATAGTTGTATATATTCACAGCATATTCAACTGCATCACTGACAATCTCTCTCTCTCTCTCTCTCTCTCTCTCTCCCCCTCCCTCTCTCTCTCCCTCTCTCTCTCTCTCTCTCTCTCTCAGAGGAAGCACGAGAAGGCAAAAGTACGCATAAAGGGGCAGGTTCGCGAGGTGAGGAAACCCACAGGTCCCTACGGTGGGGAAGCATCGGGTATTAATGCAAACGTCAGCCGCAGTAGAAGGCTAAATTGCTAGACCCCACCTTGTTTGAAATCGGTCTTCCACCTCGAAATATTAAGTCATTATAATAGGGTGTCTTCACCATTTTACAAGCATTCTGTTTCTACCGCTGCTTGTTGGCAATTTTGACAATGCGACTGGCCTCAGAATATTTTGTAATTTGTGGTTAGGGTATAAATGAATCAAAAGAAAGATGAGAATTACTGATGAGAGGATTGTTTGGAATCTTTTCCGACTTTCAAGTTCGGTTGAATTAATTGATTTTGTTTTTAATATTATCTATTAATATAGTTATACTTTTGCTGACTTCAATGTTTCCAATTTACCGTACTTAGTCTACAGCAGAACTTGGCAAATTTTGTTGAAGATCATGACGATTATGGAGCAGCTCATTGGCTTTTTCATTCTATGTTGCATATTTTTTGTTTTTCCCTGTTATAAACTCGTGTCACTGGCTTTTTCATTCTATGTTGCATATTTTTTGTTTTTCCCTGTTATAAACTCGTGTCACGCTTTCTGTTTTGTTTTGTTTTGTTTTGTT